TGTACTTCAGTACCTGTGAATAGTAAATTAACTATCGATCTTTGCATATTTAAAGATGTCCTCATTTTGTCATCACACTGTAATGACATTTTATCTGGGTGTAGAAATATGGATGGGTGTTTAGTTTCCTTCAGCTATTTGAAAGATAATAGTCCACTGTCTGCTGACTTCAATGGTTTTTATGAGAAGTCTGCTGTCAGTCCGATTGTGATCACTTGGTGTGTTTCTCTTTGACGTCTAAAAATCTTTCCTTCTTGATTTTGCAATTTCACAATATGATCCAATACGGATTTTAAAAATGTATCCCTCTTAGATATTGGTGTAGCCCTGTAAGCAGAGGACTTATAAAATTCTTCAATTTACCAACTTCCTCGTCATTTTCAATTTTGACATTTTCTTTTATTCATGCTGTTCTTTTTGAAATTCCTATTAGGACTAAAGAAGAGCTTCTCAATATGTTTTGCTTATCTCCTAAATTGTCTCATATTTTTAATTTCTTTTCTCTCTAGGATATATTTTGAATATTTTAAAAGTTTTAACATCTACATGTTAATTCTGAAATCACTTTTGTCTAGGATAATATATATTTTATAAAATAAATTATATTATATTATATTTTTATAATATATTTTATAAAATTTTTAATAGCATGCTAAAAAATAGTATATTAAAATATTTAATAGTATATGTTTTTTTTTCCCAAGGCTTTTTAGTTATTTTCTTTTTATATTTCTTGTGTTAATAACCATCTTCTTCATTTGTTTCCTTCTCAGGTTTTAAGAATGTATTTTTCTTCATAACTTGTGAGTATCTTAAACTTGTTTATTTTAAGGTTTCTGTATTGTACTGTGGTATTTGTATTGTACTGCAATATTTTATCTTCTTTGATAAAATTGATTGATTTTGATTGATTCTGTTCACTGATTTTCTTAGTTGTGTTTATGGATGAAATATCTCTATATTTAACACACCACTTTTTATTTGAGAGATCATCTCATGTTGGTATATTTCATTTTGTCTCTTTTTTTTTTTCATTTTCTCTATTTTGTGTAAGCCTTGTATGTCAAGTGGCTTTGTATTTTCAGTGGCCAACATTTCTGATATTCACAGATTATATGTTAATGAGTCAGAGTTTTCTCAGTGGTAGTTTGATCTTGTTCTTCATCAAGTGAAGGACTATTTCTCTCCTTTACTATTGTCATGAGGACTGGTTGTGGAGACAAACTAAAGGAGTATTCAGAGATATAACTTAGCCTCCATTCATGGGTAAGAATAATGTAGATTTCTTGTTCTTTGCATGGAATTTGCCTTTGGTACTCACTGAACATGTTTGTTCTCTGTTTGTTCAGGGGTGTTGCTGTCAAAGGGTCAATAGTTTGTTTTATTTCCAGAGTTCATAGGATCATCTCTTATCTTACTCACCATTGTAGTTTTCCTGCACTTTTGGGGCCACAGGTATTTGTATATATAATTTTGAGTCCAGGTGTATGTTTTAAAATACATGGTATATAATTTCTATATGTTTAGCAATGGTTCTCAACCTTCCTAATGCTGCAATCCTTTAATACAGTTCCTCATGTTGTAAAACTATTTTTGTTGCTACTTCATAACTGCAATTTTGCTACTCTTATGAATCATGATGTAAATATCTGATATGCAGGATGGTCCTAGGTGATCTCTGTGAAAGGGTCATTCGACCCCCAAAGGGGTGGTGACCCACAGGTTAAGAACTGCTGGTTTAGAGCAATGAAAGGAGATTTTCTTCTTACTTTCTTTCCAGAAAGTTGCTTAGTGAACAATTTACTGATGGAATATGAGTTGGCTCTTATTAAAATACTGAAATATCACACGACAGATTACTTTGAATGGCTTCCAAATGTTCTAACCCCCCCAATCAATAAATTTTTACCCAATCAATGAATTTGGAAGTGTTTGCTTGTACTGTAATGCTGACACACACATTCATAATAGAAGTTGAAGTTGGAATAAACTACTTGATGAAGTCATCAGGAACTTTATGGAAATGATTTTGCACCATAAAAGAAGAAAATCCTTTTATGATATAACTGGAATATTCTCTCATGCCCACATTTACTCAATATCCTTTCCACAGTATGCTATCTCTGCTTTTTACCCTCCATCTAATTTTTCAACAAATAGTAGTCTCTTGAGCCATTGATGAAATATAATATACTATTGCAAAGCAAATCTGGCTCTTTCCTAAAATATTAGAGAGAGTTACAAAGGCAAAAATATTATGTGTATATGTGTTTTGAAGATAAGCATTGTAAGAATATCATAAACTTCATTATTATTTAAAGTTTTTTTTTTACATTTTACTTTAGTACTGCTGATGAAAAGGACATTAAAGTCTTCCATTCTGAACATATTTCCTGGACATTCCAACAGAGAAGAATACGGGGATTCTGTGGCTGAGGTCACAATTTTAAACATGGTCTGATTGACTGGACTAAACAAAGCCAGACAAAGAAATCAGTCCTTCTTGTGGTCTCTCCTTATGGTTCTTGGTCCAGGAGGGTATTCCTAGGTGGAAATTGAATAGATTTAGGCAAAAAACTTCAAGAACTTGAAGTAGTGGAGAAAAATGGTGAGGCAATTCTGGAGTGGGAGTGGGACAGAGAGATGAGATGATCTAGTTCACTATTACTTTTGCTAAAGATGTAATAAAATAATTTACATTTATTTCTTTGTAGTAGGCTAAGCACTATAATGTTTCTAAAATATGCTAACTCATTAAATACTACCACATCCCTATGAAGTAAGTGCTATTATTACATGCAGTTCTCAGACAGAGTAACTGAGGCACAGAGCAATTCATGCAGTTTGAATGCGTGCAATTCATGCAGTTTGAATTTGTACAATTCATGCATGTTGCCTCACATTGGGTCCTTTCATCTTAATCACTTCATTAATAAAAATTAAAAATACTACTTCAGAGTAGAGAGTTTGTGACATAATTTTCTTATAATTGTAAGGCAGTTAATAATCTCTTTTCTAGGTATTTATTTTTCTAATGAAAATTCTTAGAGGAAAGCAGTCTTATCCTTGTAATCTGAGCTTAAATGTATTAATAGAAAGAATTCTAATGTAACTTTGGATAATGAAGTATATCTTATACTCTAAATCTATTTAGTTCTTGAATTTCAGAGATCAAAAACAGAGATCAGAGGGCAAGGATTTATCCAAAAATACATTAATATCTCAATGGGCTTTTTGAGGAGTGACAATCTCACTTGAGGGGTCCTCATAAAGAATAAATTGTCATCTAGATAGAAAGGACCCAGCACTGTCCTTAGCATATAGTGAGTGCCTTCAGTGGATAACTGGCCATTTCAGATTATCTTCTTGCCCATCAGGCCAATAGAGCTAGAAGAGAGGGGCCATTTTCTTCTATTCATCTACAGCAGTAGCGGTTTATCTATAGGGATTGGGCACCCTGACCTTTATTGTCATGAGTGGTTTGACTTAAATTGATCATTTTCCCTAACTGGTTGTCATGACAGTCTAGAAGCCTGCAGGATGCCAGGTGCATCATATCCTGAGATGTAAGCAATGGGTTTAGTTAGAATGAAAAGGTACATGGATTATACATCCCCAGGTAAGGGAAGAGAGAATACTGTGGGCTGATCTGAGTGATGTCCTCTCATTGGATACATAGAATGAGCAGCTCTTGAATGCTGTGTGATCAGCTGTGAGGGATCCAGTTTGATGCTGACTCATCGATTCAATCTTAATTCTACTTCCTGTCACTCATTTACACATTCATTTTCTCACTCGTATAATCATCCAGTCACACATTTCTTCATTCAATTAATAATTTAATAATCTTAATTCATTTTATTTTTCATTAAATAAGCATTTAATGACTTTTGTGCAATAAAATACCAAACATGGTAGAAGATAAGAGAGCTGATGCCAGTCCTCGGGACCTCTCAATTCCCATTAGATGTCAGACCTAGACAGCATTTATTAACTTATAGAAAACTCCATCTGTGATTTTCATTGTTACTGGTTGAACCCCTCTTAGTGACTAATGATATTATTTCTCTCCTCTGTAGCCCACCTGAAAGGATGCCCCATTACTGTTGATCTTGAGCTCAGTGACGTGTAGAAATTAAAGTCACAGTTAATAGTTTGGAGTAGAACTTGAGTCCATTTTCCCCCTTCATGCTTCCCTTCACAGAAATAATACAGACATAAATTGCCAGTTTTATAAATTCATTTGTCATTTTTATTAACAAATTGCAGAAATATATTTACCAGGAGATGTTGATGTCCAACAGCATGATTAAAGTGCTCTCTAGAAAAGAGATAAGGAAAAGATTTTGATATATTTTTAAATAAAACCTTGCCCTCTGATCTCTGTTTTTGATCTTTTAAATTCAGAAGCTAAATAAATTTAGATTATAAGGCATTCATCATTACCCAAAATAACCATCAGAACTATTGCAGTTTTAAAGATCAGGATCTTTAAATGTGTGTAATGAGAGATAGTGTCATGGATTTCTGGATTTCACCCCAGATATACTAACTCAGATTATCCTGGATTAGATCCTGGAATTCTGCATTTTGATGGTCTTTCAGGGTGATTCTTAGGAGTACCAATGTCTGAGACCTATGGCTCTATGCTATGTACAGGAATCTTAAAAGTTCTTCTGAATTTTAATAACTAGAAATATCATTCTGGTATTATACATCTATGAGGCTTACCTGCAAAGCACTTTACACCAATAGTATGGTGAGCTATGGGGTTTTATGGTATCTGGGATTATAATCTTAATCTCAAAATAGAAGTGGCATTCCATTTCTGGTAAAAATTATTTTTACCAGAATTTTCTCTAACCTAGTCATATTCAAAAAGAAAGCATGAATAGAGAAGTCTCAGAAAAATTAAAGGCTAGAAATAATAAAATATAAAAAATATTCTTAGAAACAGGAGATCCAATGGAATCTTGACATGGTCTGTGAGCAATTTATATCTAATAGGCTAAGCACCATGGAGACTTTGCTTTTCCAACAACTTTCTCGAATGCATTCTTGACTTCTTTGTTCCTCAGGCTGTAGACCAGAGGGTTCAGCATGGGGATGACCATGGTGTAGAACACTGACGCAATTTTGTCTGTGTCCATGGAGTGAGTGGAACTCGGCTGTAAGTACATAAACATGACAGTCGTATAGAAGATAGACACAGTGGTGAGGTGGGATGCACAGGTGGAGAAGGCCTTCCTCTGTCCCTGGGCTGAATGCATCTTCAAGACAGCAACAAAAATAAAAAGATAAGAGTTCAAGATAACCAGGAGAGTGAAAAAGACATTGAATGCTACCATTGCGAAGAGCACAATCTCATTTGTGTAAATATCAGAACAAGAAAGAGCCAAGACGGGGGGAATGTCACAGAAAAAGTGATTGACCACATTGGAATGACAAAAGGACAGATGGAAAGTCAAGAAAACATGGATGGAAGTTTGAAAGAGTCCACAAATGTAGGAGCCAGTGACCAGTAGGACACATGTAGTGCTTGTCATGGTTGTGGTGTAATGCAGGGGTTTACATACTGCTGCATGACGATCAAAAGCCATCGTGGCAAGGAGAAAACTTTCAGTAGTGACAAAGGCTCCATAGAAGAACATCTGGGCAGCACATCCATGGTGCGATATGATCTTATCTCCTGTGAGCATCCCCGCCATTACCTTAGGAGTGACAGCTGAGGTATAGACACAGTCTGCCAGGGAAAGATTACCAAGGAAAAAGTACATGGGTGTGTGCAGCCGGGAGTCCAAGAGAATCAACGCAATCATCCCTAGGTTTCCAGCCAGAGTGATAAAGTAAATGAGAGTGAAGGTTATAAATAAAGGGATTTGAAGTTCTGGGGCATCAGTTAATCCCACAAGAAGGAATTCTGTCACCTCTGAAATATTCTCCATCAAAGTTGTTTGGGAATTATCATGAGAGGTACCTATAATAAGATGAGAAAACACAAAATTATGATAATTGAACACTGTCATGGGAACAGAAATGTGGGCAGCGTGTCTTACTCCTGTGTCAGATTCCTGTCGAGGGCAAGAGTGCAAGAAGCTCTCCAAATGTTGGGTAGGGGTGGGTTGTGTGAGATCACTCACCTGGAGGTGGTTTTGGCACTGGAATACCTCTGCTGACCATGGCCACCACAAGTGGTAAGTAGTATGACTCTGGGGCACATTTCAGCTTCCCCAGTGTATGGTATGCTCTACTACATTAAACCACACAGGGCCATTTTTCAGTGGTTCCTACATCTTGCAAACACTCCTAACCAAAATATATATAAAAACTGTAATCAACAGAAAGAAAAATATGGGAAACATTGTGTCATTCTTTGCTATGTGATGCTAACAGGGTGTGTCACGTGCATTTTCCATCTCCGGTAGACCCATCCCTATTCTTGATAGCTAAAGATATCAATGATTCAAGACACTGCTCTGAGGACATTCACACTTTTCTCTCTAATTCATGAGGACCCTTTGTTGGCTGATTCTCATGTAAGCATTCGTCTAAAGAAAACCTCATGATCTGTGGAGCACATTCTTACTGATATTTTTATGTCTTTTAGTGACTCAAGAACTAAAGGAGCAGTTTTTTAAAAAATTGAAGCAAAGCTTTAGTTTTTTTCTTTTCATCTCCCCCAACACTTATGTCTTTGCTTTATTTATGGGGAGGGAGAATAGGAGAAGATGGAAGAGTTACTTTGGGCCTTCCCTAGAGACTCTGTGGTTTTAACCAAGCTGTAGACAGCCTGTCATACCCAGTAGTGTATCTGATTATGCTCACCTCCAGGGCTGGCTCAGGTGACAGCTTATTGTGCTGCCAGGGTTACATATGAGCAACTCTCTCAACCCTAAAGACACTTCTGATTCTGGAGTCTTGAGTCATACTCATTTCTCCTGCATTAACAATCCTTCATATTTGAGGGAGAAGATGATATAGCCCCTTGTCTTTTTTTTTGCAGTTTTTGGCCGGGACTGGGTTTGAACCCACCACCTCCAGCATATGGGGCTGGCACCTTACTCCTGTGAGCCACAGGTGCCACCCAATATAGCCCCTTGTCTTTAAAAATAGCCAAAGTAAAAATAATTTTCCAACTACCTCAGGCTTTTATGTGACAATGAATAGAAAATGTTTTGAAAACCATGAAAGATGCTGACATTTTTAAATTAGACAATCTGATCCATTATTTTTAATAGTCCATCTTATCTTTGCTTGGTTATTGCAGAACACTCAGCCAAGAATATTACATGTCTGTATTTTGATGTGCTTAACGTAAATAGCCTAACATTTGAGATTCCCAAATAGATGTTGAAAGTGCTACAACCCCTGAAATTCAGAAAGGGAGATGTGATCTTTGCACTGCTATTCCTATAGTACATTCACAATAAAAGAAAACTCAAAAATAGGTTAAGGGAACACTTCTCCACTGCTGGTGGGACCGCAAACTAATATAGCATTTTTGGAAAGAAGTATGGAGAATCCTCAAAGATCTAAAAGTAGACCTTTCATTTGATCCTGCAATCCCATTATGGGGTATCTACCCAGAAAAACAAAAATCATTTTACCACAAAGACATTTGCACCAGAATGTTTATTGTGGCTGAGTTCATAATTGCCAAGTTGTGGAAGGAAACCAAATGCCCATCAACCCATGAATGGATCAACAAACTGTGGTATATTTATAACATGGAATACTATTCATCCATTAGAAAGACAGAGACTTTACCTTTTTTACATTTACCTGGATGGAGCTGAAACACATTCTTCTTAGTAAAGTATCACAAGAATGGAAAAATAAATATCCAATATACTCAATACTAACATGAAACCAATATATAAACAATTACATGCCCATAGGAACAATAAAACACAAATATAGTCTAGGATGGGGGCAGGGGGAGGAGGCAAGGACAAGGGGAAGGAGGGAGAACAATTGGCAGAAGGAGGGAGGGCATGAGCTGGGATCTCACCCATTGTGCACATTGTGAGGCTGTATAACAGGCCCCTGGGTGAGGGACTGTTTTACAACTGAACTCTACCCTGGAAGCGAGAACAATGTAATCTAAAAATGTGTACCCTCATATTCATTTGAAATAAAAAAGTAGGTTCTCCCTTTTGAAAATCATCATTACCCCAAACATTTACATAAGACACCTGGTGGTAGTCAGCGTGGAAATCTGGGTGCCGTAGAGCAGCTTAGTAGAGTGAAAAGAGCAGTGAACAAGGAATCAGAAGGTGACTGGCTAACAGGATGTCCGTGGTTACAGCTCTTTAACCACTCAGGGCTTTATTTTCCTTTTTCTTTTGTTTGTGTCTGTGAAATAAAAATAACTGGACCCTCTAGCGCCCCTTCCAATTCTAAGTGGAAATGATTGTTACTTTTTCTTGATACTTACTGTCCTAGGAAAAGACAAGCGAGGGTCCAAAGAAGGGTGTATGGAAAAGCTTCATAGCCAGACCACCGACCAAAAGTCCATCCATGTCCAGGAAAGCATCATGCCGGAGAAACTCCTTCCCCACCTGTGCAGTTTTATGCTGTAAAACAGAATATCAGCTTGTGCTCTTGCAAATATCATGGCAAAGACAGCAACAAGTCTCTGGGAGAAACATTTAGTATTTTGTGAGTAGATATCTCAGGAGGATTCTGATTGCAGGTTGGTCTTCCCCATCTGACCCTGACTGGGCATAGCAGAGGATAATGTTTGCACATTGTGTGAGCGACATGGAGGAATGGAGAGTTAGGGGAAAGAGCCTCCAATCACCAAATCAGCGGTGTCACAGCCACATTTGGCAACAAAGATACGAACTTCTCTAAATCTCTGGTTCATGCGATGTCGGGACCTCAAGCAAGCTTTCTCATATCTAACGTTCTCTCAAAGGTCTAGAGATTTCCCTAGCAATATATTTTTCTTTCTATTTTTATAATTTTTTTAAACAAAATATCCATTTATCATACAACTACAGAGCCAGTCTGAGGATCCTTTACCTTTCATTTGTAAGTAAGGGAATAGATAGATTCTTTCCTGTGCATAATTGTCTGGTCCCAGACTTCACAGTGACATGATCTCCTTTTTTAATCAATAAAGTCAAGTGCTGTGTGGTTATGTGGCCCAGCTTCAATTCTAGTCCTGTTACCTACCATGATGGGACTTTAACTAAATTATTTGATCTCATCAAAGTTCGCTGTATCCTCTATAACAAAGGAATAATAATAATCACAATTGTTCACCTCCCATAGAAGAGTCAACAAGATGAAATATCTAATGGAGATTGTGATGACTAGCACATATTAAGAACTCAAAAAATTTAGGTACCTCTACTTAATTATAAGTACAAAGTTGTTATGTGAAATAAAAATAGTGTTGCTCAAACATGACATCTGCTTCCCATGTTTCCCTGCCCCGCTGTAGCTAATTAGAACCATGAACTAGGTCCATAAAATAGACTGATGAAGAAGCAATGTGTGTCATGGTGGGGTTGAAGTATGGCAAAGCCCATGCATAATGGTTCATTTCCCTCCCTCGCCCACCCTGCTCTGGTAACGGGACAGGCTGCTGTTCCCGAGGATGTAGCTACAGACAGCAATGTCTCCACTGGCCTGGGTATTGGAGTGAACGTGTGGAGAGAGACCTCCCCCTCTGTAGACAACCTGTGATGCACATGCATTAGAAAAAATAGGAAATAAATTTCTGCTGTCTTAGATAATTGGAATTCCAGTGCGATTTATTAAAGGATTTTACCCTGGTCTCTGTTGTCTAATATAATGTATAATTATGTATGCTCTGTTGACTATTATCTTTTATTTTTATTTGAACAGATGACATGGTCTTAGGTATCACTCCATTTATCTTGTATTCTTTTTCTTTTTTTTTTAATAGATCAGCCTAATTGTGGTAGAATTAATAGACCATAAAATGTATTCATCTAAAATGTAAAATTCATCGAATTTTAGTATATTTAGAGTTACATGTCTGTAACCCCAATGAAGAACATTTTCAGCCCCTGAGAAGAACCTTGTACTGATTGGCAGTCACTCCCATTTCCTTCTCCCTACCCCGGATTTTGGAAACCACTTAGCTACTCTCTGTCTCAATGTGTTGGTTTTCTATGGACATTTCATATGAATAGAACCATATAACATATGGCCATTCACGACTGTAATCTTTTAGAATAATGTTTTCAAAGTTCTCTCATGTTGTAACATGTGTCCGTGCTTCATTCCTTTTATGACTAAATGACACTCCATCGTGTAAATATACCACTGTGTACATATTCATGCTTTAATCAGGTTGATGGAGCAGCTTTGACTTTTTCCAGCTGTTGGCAATTTTGAATAATGCTGCTGTAAACATTCATGTACAAACTTGATCTAATAATGTGCTTTTAGTTCTCCTAAGTACATACCTAGAAGCAAAATTATTGGATGACATGGTAACTCTCAAAGACTGACAAACCATACCTAGGGCACCATTTTACATGGCAGTGGGGGAATGGGAGAGTGGACAGAAGGAAGGAGGGAGGAGGTGGGGGTCACAGTGTGTGACACACTTCTTGGGGGTGGGACATAATTCTAAGAGGGACTTTACCTAACAAATGCAAGCAATGTAACCTGGTTCTTTGTATCCTCAATGAATCCCAAATAATTCAAAAGAAAATGGAGTGAAGATATCCTTTTGATATGCTGACTTCCTATCCCTTGGATATGTACTTAGCAGTGAGATTCTGGGTCATATGGTAGTTCCATTTTTAGTTTTTTGACTGTTCTCCATAGTGGTTTCCCTAATTTACATTTCTACCAACACGTTTCTCATGTTTTCTGATTAGTTTCCTTCTTATATTCCACATTGCTGCTTATTTTTGTTTCATTTATTTCCTGCTCTTAAATGAGATTAGAACCCATGAAG